CAAACATCTCTGGGGAAAAAAAAAAAAAAACCACCTTTGCAGGGATTTCGGAGCTCAGCAGGCAGGGGAAGGAAAACAAAAGCATTCAGTTTTGTCCTGTTTGTGTGCTGGGAAGATGAGAAGGGCCAAGAGTCACAGCCAGGGATTTTCTGAGCAACTTCCTCGGGTAGCCACAGCAGGTAGGGTGGAGAGAAGAGCAACAGTGTCCTCCTCTCTGCCCTCCTTCTCTCCAGCCCCTTCCACAGCCATCTCCCCTCCCAAGGCAGGGCAGCCCCCTCAATGAGTTGCAGGACACTGCGGGTGCTCTCAGGTGCTGAAGGTTTTGACTCTTCCAGGTGCTCAGATCCAGGGACTGAATCTTTGGAGGGCCAAAGGCTCTTCACACCAATTCATCTGGCCAGGTCTCCTCTGCAAGCAGAGCAACCCTCTTCAAATTTTGCTTGGGGCGGGGGGGGGGAAACACAATGCACCAGTGACAAGCTCTCTCAACAAGACAGGGGTTAAGACAACTGGGTTTAACTGGCTGTGAGAAGAGCCAACTAGTTTGGCCTTGAAGACATGGAGCCTTTACCCTGTGCTGTACTTAAGACACACAGACTCAGTCTGGTTTGGGGTCTACAGTTTTCACAGGCCACTGAAACCTTCGTTGCAGTTGCTCTTGTGAATGGATATGCTGAACTCTGCACACGCTGGAGAGGGGACAAAACCATCACACAGCACTCAAGCCCAGGCCACAGCAGCCCTCTCGCCTTCATCAGCCCCGAGGCAGTAGCCCCAGGCCTCTGCTCACACCACTCACCCAAGTAATCTTGGAATCGCCAAACCCAAGTTCAAAAAAACGATGTGCACAGGCAAAAAAAAAAATAAAAAGAATACAAATGAGACTGGTTTAAAAACCACAAGGTTGAAATAAAATATTAGGCATGTTATTTTTTTTTTTTTTGCTGGGTTTTTCAGCACTCAGAAGTTGTTTTCCAACTCCTCTCAGCAACCACAAGTTCTAGCAATTCACTTACAGAAAACTAAAGCTGACATTCTCATGTCTGCAGGAGCTGGGACGTTTTTTTGAAGTTGTGAGTCCATGATAAAACTGCGTCAGCTGGCAGAGAGGGGCCTATTCATCTGCTTTATTTGCAGAATTTCATCTTCGTTTCTCCAGGCTTTCCTGTCTTTGACTTCCAAAGCCACCAGCGAGGAAGCACCGCTTCCAGCTTCTCTTCACTTTCTCTGTCAGGTGTGGGACACTTGCCTTGTTTCATTGACTGACACAAGAGACCTGTTGTAGGCTAAGAAAGCGATCTGCAAAATATGTCTGGGGG